TGTGGGTGTGGTGGTCTGTGTTGTTGTCTTTGTCAGTGGCAGGGTTGTGGGTGTGGTGGTCCCTGTTGTGGTCTTTGTCAGTGGTGTGGCTGTGGGTGTGCTGGTCTCTGTTGTGGTCTTTGTCAGTGGTGGGGCTGTGGGTGTGGTGGTCTCTGTTGTGGTCTTGGTCAGTGGCGGGGCTGTGGGTGTAGGCTCTGTTTCTGTGACAGGGACGTGTGTCGATGTGGGTGGGGTGCCAGTTGGCTTTGGGCTGGAGGAGGTAGCATGGGGCTCCATTGATGTGACTCGGTGAGAGGTTGGAGCCACCAAGGAGGTGGCAGATGTTGACACGTTGGGGGGAAGCGTCTGTGGGTGTGATGGGGTGGGGTAGGTGGTGGCGGTCCAGAAAGGTGTTCCCGTGGGCGGACCTGTTGTGTGGGTGGTAGTGGGGACAGAGAGGGTGGGGGTGGAGTGAGTGGTGAAGGGGGTGTGTGGCATGGGGGGTGTGGCCGTGGCGGTGTGTGTTAGGGAGCTGGATTCAGAGTGTGTGGTGTGACTGGTGTCCGCCTTGGCCCTAGCAGTGGTGGCTCCTGACAGTGGACTGGTGTGCGTTGTGCTGTGGCCTGTGGTGCTCTCCGGGGGTCGTGGGAGGTCCGTCTGCTGTGTCTCCTGGCTGACAGGGGCTTCAGGGGTCCAACGGTGTGTTGAGAACGCTGTAGAAAACAGTGGTGGTCAGTTCACTCCTCCTCGTTACCCTGCCTTTGGGTGGGACCCGTTCATCACCCACACCTTCCACATCGTCCTCCTCACATGTGGCTTCTTTGTGTCCCTGGTGGTGTGTCCAGGAGTTTCCTGAATGACTATCTCGTTCCTTTCCCAAGCCCCACCCCGGCATTCTCTGTGGACCCTTGTTGCCTCTCAGCTGCTTGTAGTGGGCTTTGGGGTCCCTCCCCGGCAGCCCTGCATGTCTCTGTCCCCTCGACGCTACTCTCAGGGCGGCCGTTGTTCGGGTGGGCTCGGCTATCCCTGCATGGCTCCCCTGCCGCTGGCCTTGGGAAAGGCTTCTCTTCTCGCCTGCTGTCAGGGTAATCGGAGGTTTGGGGCGCTGCCCCAGAGTCGGGGCCTGCACTTGGGTTGGGGGCCTTTTGGAGCCCTGGATCCCCTGGGGCCTGTGGATTCCCTTGGTGGGGGTGGCCGTGGTGGATGGGCGCTTGGGTACCGTGGCGGGGGAGATGTGCAAAGAGGAGCGTGCTGAGTCAGGCAGGCTGCTGCCTCCCTCGGGCCTGAGCCGGTCCTGTGTGGTCGTGGGGGTGGCCCAAGGCTGCTGTCTTCCACGCGGCCCCACATAGCTTGGGCTGGGTGCTGGGGCTGCCCCGCTGAGGCCCCTCTGTGGGGACGGGCAGTGGTGGCATGCTTACTTGCGGGGGACACTGTGGAGGTCCCTGATGTTGCCGGGGTTGGTGGGGCTGCTGTGGTTCGCGCCGTGGACCGAGCTGTGGACCGCGTGGCTGTGTCGTGGGAGGATCCTGCGGGCTGTGTTGTGGCTTGGGTCACGGTGGGTGCCGTGGCTGTTGGCCTTCGAGTGGCCGTGGTGGTCGGCGCCGACGTGGCCCGTGTGGTGACGGTGGAGGTGGTTTGAGGTAAACCTGCAGGGAACAGCGCCCGGCATCCCCTTCAGCCCCGTCCGCACTGCCACGGGTGCTTCCTCCCCCCCCCCGGGGCCCTGGCCCGGGGGCCCTACCTCCTGAGGGGACTGTTGGTTGTGTCTGGGTGGTGGGGGCTGTGGCTGTGGCCGTTGGCGTGGCCGGAAGGCTGGGTGTCCGGGTCGGGGCCTCAGGTGTGGCCGGGGAGCTTGGCGAGGGTCTGGTGGAGCTCAGCGCAGGGGTGCTGGGGGTCACTGTGGTGCTGGCTGCGGCTGTGGTGGGCCTGGTTTCCGTGCTGTGGGAGCCTGAGTGTGGCACACACGCTGTTGTTGTGGGGTAGGGAGCTGCTCTGGCACACCCTTTGGGAGGAGCCCTTCACTTCCCTGCTGGGCCCCAAGCCACGCGGGCTGGGCAGAGGCCCTCATGGCAGTGGGGGCTCCCGGCGGGGCGTGTGTCCTTTGACCCTGCTGTGCTTGGTGGCCAGGCAGCAGGGCCCAGTGGGGCCTACCGAGCCCCTCCCGTCTGACTTCCTGGTCAGCACCTGCCGCCCCCACTGTGCCGAGCAGCCCAGGGCCAGCGCACCTACACCCTGCCCCGCCCCACGCCCACAAGCCTGGCTGCAGCCGCTGGGCGGACAGACACAGGCTGGGCTGGCTGCAGCCTGGCTGGTGGAGCCGGGGAGGAGCCCCGGGAGAGAGCCTGCTTCACCTCGGCCCTTGCATGTGTGCAGTCACCTGCCGTGGGCAGCGGCACGGTGGGTGATGACGCCGCAAGAGGAGGGGCGGTTGGGGGTGCTGCCTCCCCGCCCCGTCTCCGCCTGCCTGGGCCCTTCAGAGCCTTCGGCTGTGTCCCCAGGGTGTGAGGCAGAGGACACGGGGGATGGAGCTACCGCAGCAGTGCCGGGACTCCTGCTCCCCGTCTTCTCTCCCCTCCTCCCACCTCTGCACCGACGGCCTGGCAGGGAGTGGAGGGGCCAGCCGGGGTGCTGCCCAAGGGTAGCTGCAGGTAGTGTCCAGTGCCCACTGGGCCGCCTGCTGCTGAACTCCCAGGAGGCCCCTGCTCTGCACCCACACACCCCAGCAGGCTGGCGGGGCCTGGGTGTGCCCTGTGGCTGCAGGCTGGGTGAGTGGATGTTTGGGGAGGGGAAGGGAGGCGAGGGCCAGTCCCTTCCCTGTGTCTCTGGCTGCCTTGGTCTCTGGCTGTGCCCCTGGGGAGTGGGGGTGCTGGGAGGCTGGCCAGAGGCTTGGGCAGGAGCTGCGAGCTCTGGGCGGGGGCGTGGGGGTTATTGGGCAGTGGGCTGAGCTTACTGCACGGCAAGCACATCCCCTTGTCGTGATCGAAGTACTCGTTCTGGGAGCAGTTGTAGCAGCCTGAGGGAGGTGTGCAGAGAACAGCCAGACCTCAGTGTCCAGAAGCAGAAGCCCCTTTTCCCCAGGCCTGGTCGCCCCCCCAGCCCCGGCTCTCCTGGCCTCTCCCCCGATCCCCAGGCACAGGTGCCTGCCTGGGTCCCCACTGTCAGACACACCCCCACATCCCACCCGCCAGCAGGCCTTCCCCTCCTCCCGTCTCCTTCTCTGCGCCCAGTACCTTCGATGTTGGGCCCCGGGAAGCTCTGCAGCAACGCGGGGCAGAGGCACGGCTGGTAGTGCCACGTACAGCTGGCCTCCTGGGCGTGCTGGTGCTTGCCGCCGCCCGCCTGCGTGTGGGTGTTGTAGAAGTCGCAGTAGATGGCTGTGGAGAAGGGCACCGTCAGGCGGCAGAGCCGGCCCGGGAGCCCGCACCTGCCAGCGGGCTCAGGGTGCCTCTGCCTCCCTGGGGGTGCTGCCTGCCCCCCGCCCCCTGCCCGGGGGAAGCGCTGCAGCCGGACATTCCGCCTGTGGCCCCGCGGAGGCCTTTGGGCAGGAGTGGGACTCACGGCAGAAGTCTGGGGACCGCCAGTCCACGCACACGCCCTTGTCCACGCAGGCCTTGGCGTAGGCGGCCACAGCGTCACACAGGCACTCGCAGTCCCCGCCGGTGTCACACCCACACGTGTCGCGCACGCAGGCCTCATAGTAAGGCAGGCGGTACACCTGCGGGGGCCGACTCTCAGCGTCAGGGCGGGGCCGGGCTCCTCCCGGCTAGCCCTCCCCTGACGGCTTGGCCGCTGAGCCCGGGGCGCCGGCCAGGGTAGCACAGGGCACTGGGGGGGCACCTGGCCATGGCAGGCGGCGAAGGTCTGGCTGTTGATGATGCTGCACTTGCGCTCAGCCCAGGAGCGACGGAAGGCGTTGAGGCTGCAGGGGTCCTGCGTGAAGGTGGTGTCCCCGCACAGCGGGCTCTCTTTCCAGGAGTTCACGAACTCCAGCTCGCTGGACGCCAGGTACTTGCTGCGTGTCTGGAAGTCGTCCTTCATGTTCCCGTTGTAGTTGCCGCACAAGCCGCAGAGGGCGTCCTGCGGGGGCTGGTGTCAGGCGGCCGGCAGGCAGGGACTCACCACTCCCTGGGGCTGTGGGGCAGGGGCGGCGGTACCTGGGAGGCACGGGCGATCTTGATGAAGACGGTCATGTGCTTGTTCCAGATGAGGGTCAGGTTGTACGTGCTGCTGACGGTGGCGTCCAGCACCAGGTGCAGGGAGCCGGCCTTGACCCGGAAGTCCACACCGGGGTCCTCCCCGCTGACTGTGTAGTTCCCATCCGCCAGCACGATGGACAGGCCCTGTGGGGTGCGGCTGTCACAGGATGCCTGCCCACGTCCTGGGTGGCCACTAAATGCCGCTGGGCTCTGCCTCCCGGCCTGAGCTCTCTATGGCAGGGCCAGCCCTGGCCTGCGGGGTCTGCCCTCTAGAGCCTTCTGTCGGCAGAAGGTTCCAGAACATGCTGGAAACTGTGTCGAGGGCTGAGGGTCAGGCTTGTGGGAGAACCCCTACCTGCTGTACGGTTGTCCAGTTCCGGGGACACTGCTGCCGTGATGTGGGCGTGGAGGCCAGGGCACAGGGCCGTGAGGGCCCGGAGAGGCCAGGCCCTGGGGCCCTGGGGGGAGGTTAGGAAGGCCACCCGCCTGCTCACCCCCAGGAAGATCTTGATGGCCCGTGAGCAGGTGACGCCCGACTTCCCACACACGACATTCTCTGTAAGGATCTTGAAGGTGGGCTGCGAGTCGCTGGCACCGCAGCCGTCCTGTGGGGAGACGGCGCTGAGGAGGAGCTGGCCCTGTGGCCCCCCAGGCCCCCCGTGGCCCCCCGTGGCCCAGGCCAGCACTCACTGTGGCCAGGATGTACTCGCAGTTGCCATCAAACACGAAGCGCTGCCCATCGAAGGTGACCACGTGGCCCTCCCCGTAGAGGGTGCAGGTGGATGGGCAGTGGGCACTCTGCTGGCACGTCCACGTCCCCCTAGAGCAGATGCTGTGGGAGGAGCAGGGCATTCTGGGGTGACTGGGGCACACGCACCCCCGTAGGACCCTGACCTCGTGGGTTGGTAGGGGCCCCTGCCCGCCCCAAGGGCTCAAGGACATTTGGGCCACCAGGTCTGTGGGTAGGGCTGTGGCTCACCAACTCTTGCAGTCCGTGTGGAGCTCGGCGCCCTGGGGATAGGAGACGCCTGCAAACTCGCACGGGCACTCCTCGGGGGGCACGCACTGTCCGCTGGCGTTCTCGTAGAGCCCCTTGGCACAGACACAGCCAGGCTCACACTTGGTGGGCACCTGCAGGGAGGAGGGTCAGTGGCCCCTGGAGGGTGGCCCTGCTAGCTGCCTCCGCAGCCCTGGGACCTTCTGAGACTCCCCAGTGTTCTCCCCAGACCTGCTCCCTGTGTCCATCCTGCTCTGAGCCTTCCCTTAGCACAGCTGCCCCTCTCTGAGGGGCATCACCTCTGCGGCATGGCTGGGCTGGTGTACCCTCACCCCAAGCTGGCAGGGCCCACGGTCCTCAGGGAGCCCACAAAGGAGCACACCCGGCGGCCACGCCACCGGTCACGCGCATCATGGGACGGTGGGGATGGAGCATGGCCCGCCTTTCGTGAGGGGTCTGTGGGACTCTTCTTGTGGGCCAAGGAGAAGATGTCGGGGCGTCCACCGTGGGAACGTCTAACCCAGGGTGTCCCCGGCGCCCCGGGCAGTGGAGCCTGCCCTCCGCGGAGCACTCTTGCCCTCGCTCCACCTGGTCTTACACAGGGGGTGCCGGTGGCTAGCATCTGGCAGGTGGGAGCGCAGGCTGCCCCGAACTTGTTCTCCGAGGACTGGCTGCAGGACTGGAACGTCTTGGGGGCCGAGCAGGTTGCTGCAGAGACAAGGGGCATGGGGTGAGGCGGGCCCAGAGGGGCCGAGGCACCCACAGTCCAGCTCCGCCAGCCTCGGCTACAGCTACGTACCCAAGAGCATCTGAGGCTGTGCCGGGCAGCTCAGCCGCCCGTTGACGCAGTAGCTGTAGGAGAGAGGCCCGGTGAGCGCCGCCTGGGCTGGGCTGCAGGCCGGGCGGCCACCCTCTGGACCCCTCGCTCACCAGATGACGCCATTGACCATGGTGGACTGGTCGGCCAGGATGAACTTGGAGCTGTCCAGGAGGCAGGGACACTGGGCCTCACGCACGCACTCAGCCTTGTGGTTCAGGTAGGTGCCCTCGGGGCAGTTGCAGCCGTCCACGGGCACGGCGCTGGGGTGGCACTCGACCTCGCGGTCGGACAGAGACAGGCACGTGCGGTCACAGGCCTGGCTGTCGTAGCTGAACGTCTGGTTGCCTGTGCAAGGGGTGCCTGCGGGGGACCCGGAGTCAGGCCCGGTGCGGGGGTGTGGGGGGCGGCACCAGCCCCGCCGGCCCATACGCACTGCAGTTGTCCACGCTGCTCCTCCAGCCCGGGAGCAGGACGCCCCGTGAGGTGCACGTGAGGGCGTAGTCGCCCAGGGCGGCGCAGATGTGCGGGAAGGTCTCCTCGTAGTTGCAGGCCTGGTACACGCACCTCTGTGGGCAGACAGGGGCCGTGGGTGCCCACCCAGGACCCCGAGGGTGCCCCCTGCGCCACCCCCGCCCCGCTGCCCACGGGGCTGCCCACCTTGTAGAAGGGCTTGGGGTCCACGGCGGTGTGGCACCTCTCGAACACCGTGCCCTTCTTCACCAGCACCGCGCAGTGGGTCTCCGCGCACACCTCTGGGGGGCAGGCCAGCGTGGGTCAGCCGTCCGCCGGGGCCTCCCGCCCACCCCGCAGCCCTCCTGGATGGCACCCACTGTTGAGCTGGCTCATGGAGCAGGGGTCGGTCTCACGCTCGCGCGCGGCTGGGCAGTTCCCTGCCCGCCAGGAGTCCACGAAGAGTGAGGCGGTGCCCTCGGTGATGCCCATGCTGGTCGTGAAGTCATCTGTCGTGTCCCCGTTGAAGTTGCCGCAGAGCCCTGGGCCGGCCGGACGTGAGGGTGGACTGGCCCATGCCCCTGTCCTGCCCCGCCCTCCCCAAAGCCCGTCTTCTCCCCTAACCACACCCCGGGCGAGAGGCCATGGCTGGCTACACGCCTGGGAGGACCAGCCGGCCAGGTGGAGCCGGCCTGGGCCGTGAGTGCCCGACACCCTGGGTCAGAGCAGGGCTCTGCCGGGCCCCTCCTCTTCCGGAGTGGCCGAGCTGGGTGGGGACGGGGCAGCGGGGGAGGGACTCACCTCTGGTCTGGCCTCTGAACTGGGGCCCGGCAGTGATGTACACCTGGAACAACGGCCACAGCTGGATCACGAGCTCCAGCCCGAAGGTGGTGACCATTTGCAAGTGGGTGGATGTCTGCCTGAAGACCGTGATGTTGCCTGAGGGGACAGGGGCCTCAGCAGGCGGCCTGCTTTGGGGGCAGGCTCGGGAGGCCCCGGGTGCTGGGGGGGAGCTGAGACCTACGAGTCTCATACGGCAGCCGCTTGGTGTCCCCGTTGTTGGTGATCACCTCGTCCTGAGAAATCACAATTTTGTCCTGCGGGGAGGGTGGCTGAGTTACGGGGGGCTGGGAGTTGGGGCCAGGCATGGTGGAGGGGGAGCTGGGACGCATCTGCTTGGGGCCCCGGGTGGGCGCAGGTGGCAGGTGGGGTGGCCTCACCTGGCTGGACACGTAGATGACAGCGACCAGCGATGTCTCCGAGTGCGAGTACCCAGACTTGTCGTACACGGCCATGAGCGAGCCCCCGTCGGGGAGCTGGGGGCTCTGGGAGGAGGGGCGGCTCAGCACAGGGGGCCCGGGCTGTCACAGCGACCCGCCGTGGCGGCCCCCAGGCGGAGGCTGCGTCCTACCTGGAGGAGGATGTAGGTGCAGGTGCCGTGGAAGCGGTAGGGCCTGGCGTCGAATGTGGTGACGAAGGAGCCGCCCTCCAGGGCACAGCGCCTGGGGCAGGGCTGCTCCACGCACTCCCAGCGGCCCCCAGAGCACCGGCTGTGGGCGAGGAGGCGTGACCCAGATGGCCCCCAGGGCTGAGGCCGCCGCATCCCCGTCCCTGCCCCCAGCCTGCCTGCACGCCCCTCCTGCTGCCCTGCGCTCACCAGGTCTGGCAGGCGGCTGTCGTGACCTCCCCAGGGGCGAAGACTACCCCGCTGAGCATGCAGGGGCACTGGGGGACAGGCACGCAGCTGTGGTTTTTGGAGATGTCGTCCAGAACCATACCTGCGGGAGAGGGGCTTCCTGGAGCTGCGGGCGCGGAGACCCCTCCCGCCCTCCTGCTGGGCAGCCCCTCCCCCACCCTGTCCCGCCCAGGGGGAGGGGCTGGGGGTGCCCCAGGAGAGCCTCCGCCTTCAGCCCCGCCTGCCTCGCCGCCTCCCGCCCCCTCGTGCTAGGTGCCGCTCCTCATTGGGCAGCGGGCCCTGTCCAGCGCAAACCCCGCCTCTGCCCACCACCTTACTCCCCGCTGACTGGCACATGCGGCCGTGGCCCGGGGCGTCTGTGAGCACCGTGAAGGCAGAGCCCTCCCCGGGCCAAGCCCCCGCAGAGTGTCGGGGGGTTCCGAGCATCGGTGTGGGCGGAGCGGATGCCCTGTCTCCAGGCTCCTTTGCAAGGGTCCTGGGAGAGCAGCTGTCCTCACCTTCCGGGCAGAAGCAGCCGAAGGTGCAGAAGCCGGAGCAGCTGCGCCGCGGGTTGGAGCAGGTCTGCACGCAGGTCTTGCCGCACTCCCGGTACACCTGGTTGGCTGGGCACTGGCCCACAGCTGCAGGTCCGTGTGGCCCTTGTGAGAGGGGTCGGGCGCCCAGGGCCTGGCCACCCACCCGACCCTGGCCGAGGACTCAGGCCAGCCCCTCCTCCACCTGGGTCTTCTCTGTCTCTCAAACAAGGGGAGATTGGGGGCATCGTGTCTGGGGCCCTGGCCCTCCCCCCGACCCTCCCCAGGACTCACAACAGAGGCCAGGGCCCCGCCAGCTGTTGACGGGCTGGCCGGCCATGCTGCACTGGCGCGAGTACTCAGATAGCGTGGCACAGCTGCAGTGGTGCTGGCCGGGCTGGGCACACGTGGCCATGTCCGCCTGGCAGCTCAGCAGGAAGGGCTCCTTGGGCACGTTGCACTCGCGGGACACCAGGGTCAGCAACTGGATGCAGGTCTGGGCCTGGGCACAGGGACACTCAGGGTCATAGGTGTCAAGGCCACATCCCACACCACGCGTGTGACTTGGCAGTCTGGGGGTGTCGCTGGCCTCGGGACCCTGCCAGATCCCGTGAGCCGGCCCCACCCTGGCTGAAGGGCCCCCTTGGCCCCGGGGAGCCCGACCGCCTCACGTACGTTCTCTGCCTGCGGGACCCGGGGGCTGGGGATGGCCTCATAGGCACAGATCTCGTTGGGGTCATCCAGCTTCTGGAGGGTGGCGTACTTAGGGGGTTCCAGGAGTTGCCCTGGGGTGAGGGGTGGGGCAGGGTCAGCACCATGGTTGCTGGGCCACAGAGGGGTCTCTCCACCACTTCCCCCCACCTACCGTCCTCGCTCAGAAACTCATTGGCCTTCTCGCCATCGAAGTTCCCACACAGCCCACACATCTTGCCCATGTGCTTCTTCTCCACCAGGACCTGGAGGGGTCGGGCACGGCCGTCGGGTGGGCGGGGAGGCGCACAGGACTCCCAGGGCCCCAGGACCCCTCGGAAGCTGCTCACGCCTGCTCCAGGGGCCCAGAGCACCCCTCACGGGGAGGGTCCTGGCACCATGCCACCCCAGGGTCTGTCCGCCCGGCTCCTCCCAGGAGACCTCCATTCGTGCTCGATGGAGGGAACTGAGCCAACAAAAAGCCCAGGCTCCTGGCCCCAATCCCCAGGAGGGCAGCTCCGCCACCCAGTCCCCTGCTGTGTCCTCACCATGAGGTGGGCGCCCGGACCCCACATGACCACCAGCTCCAGCTCCAGCTGCTTGGCCACCAGCCGCACGCTCTGGCCAAAGGGTGTGATCTGGAGCCCGTTGCTGGTGTAGGGCAGGCTGACGACCCTGCAGGGTGACAGCAGTCAGCGGCCGCCCCTAGGGGCCCCAGCCGCCCGGCCCGGCTCTGCAGCCTACCCCACATCCTTGACGGAGATGACCGCCTTCTGCACAGTGACCACAGAGGCCCCCAGCTCCACGATGACCCGGGAGATGTTCCCGCTTGGCCCTCGCCGTAGCTGCACGCTGAAGGTGGACGAGGCATCCTTGCACGTGGCCGCAAAGATGTAGTTGCAGGTCCCCGAGAAGTCATACGTGTGGCCGTCGAAGGTGGTGAAGTGGCCGGGCCCCCACGTGGAGCACCAGCCCCTGTCTGGAGCTGCGGAGGGAGCGGGCGGGGTCTCGGGGCCCTGCGTCCTCCCAGCTGGTGGGGCAGGTCTGGGGCCCCGGGGAGCCCGCACTGGCAGACAAGAGGCCTCCCAATTTCCAGGCCCTCCTGGGGTGGGCGGGAGAAGGGCCCCGCGCCCCACACCCATCCCCTGCCTGCGGGAGCGCAGGCCTCTGATGTGGTTGGGGTCTGTGGCCCCATCAGCCCTGGGGTCTGTAGGACATGAAGCTGCAGCTTAGCCCCCATCCCGCAGGGGCAGCAGGGGCAGCAGGGGCTTGTCTCCCCCAGGTGAGGGTGGTCTGAGGCTCTTCCATAGCTGGAGGCCCTTGTGGAAACACCAGACACGGTTACCCTGTAGCAGGGCCATGGCCGGTGGACACGGGGACAGGGGGCTGCCGTGACCCTCACCTGTCTGCGGGGAGTCCTTCAGCCTCCGGAGGCCTGGGGGCACCAAGGAGCTGTCGTCCAGACCTGCGTGGACAGGGCCCGCGGTCAGTGTGGGGCTGCCCAGCTCTGCTCGAGGGCTGTGGCCGGCAGCGTGTTTCGGGTGAGCCAGGCCCGGGGCACGGCAGGGAGTGCGGGGAGTGCCAGCAGGGCTGCTCCTGGGCTGCACAAGCTCCGCCGTCCCCGCCGTCCTTTCCTTTGGTTGCCTCAGAGGGACCTCTCTGAGCTGTCACCTGCTGGGGCTGGGGACACGGTGGGGATGAGGCCCCGCCCCCAGGCACACGCACGCGTGGAAGGGCAGTGAGTGGGGGGCGGCCGCAGACGCTGGGAGCCGGGAGGTCCCTGGGGAGATGGGGTCCCGAGAGTGGGGCTCAGGGCTGGGCGAGCTGGGCCCCGGCTGTCCGTGGCGTCGTCTGTCCCGCGGCACCTGCAGGTCTGCCCGCTGGGCTCCAGGCACTGGCTCGCTCCCCAGAGAAGCCTGGGCGCCGCGCACGCAGGTGGCGTGTGATAAAGGGGCTCCTGGCTGCGCTGGCTCCCAGTGGGCTCCCGTGTGGGCCTCATGGGGGGTAGTAGCTGCAGGTGGGGGTGAGGAGCCCTGAGCCCAGAGGGGTTCGGTGGTCTGCAAGTGGCGGGAGGGCCAGGGAGAGCTGGGCAGGGGTGCCTGGGCGTCTGTGGGTGCCACCGCCACTTGGCCGGTGGCGTGCCGCTGTCCGGCTATACCCGCCGAGTTCCCAGCCCAGCCCACCTCGGGTCCACTCCCTCTGGGGTCCGTGCGCGCTCTGCCGCCAGCTCAGAGGCTGAGTGAGGCTGAGGCCCGCGGAGGACTTCTCCCTCTTCTGGGCCCTAAAAGGGGCTGTTTCTTTGCTGCCTTCCTCCCTGTCAGCTTCCCGGCGCTCTGGCCGTTGCCGGAGAAATGCCCGGTGACGCTGCTTGCGGCGACTGTCGGGGCAGGAGGCACGGGCCCAGCCTCGCCTCCCCTCTCCCTGCCCTGCTGCAGTCCTCCCTGCGGCCCCGTGGGCCCTGTGGGAGATGAGGCCCAGCGCCGGCGGGCGGCAGAGTCATCGCTGAATGCGGCCCCCGGGGTCCCGTCCCTGCTGCTCCCCGCCGCGCCCCCTTTTCCCCGGGGTCTGTGCCTTCCTGGGTGACACTGACCTCCCGAGTCACGGTGCTGGTCGCTGCTGGTGTTGTTTCTCTGGGTGACGCCAGGGAGCAGGGGTGCCTGCCCAACGGCACAGGGTCCCCAGGCCGGGCGGGAGGTGACACCTGGCCGCCTTCCTCTGCAGTGCCCACCACGCCCATCCACGCCTGGGGCCCCTCCTCTCGGCTCACCACTGGCCCCCCGACGCCTAGAGTCGCGCCCACTGGCCCCAGGGCCACTCCCAGGTGCCCACTTGCAGCGGCCCCTCCCGTGCTTCACCTGTCGCCCAGCACCAGCCTCCCGAGCTCGCTGCGCTCGGCCCTCGGCTCCGCCTGGTCCCCGCCCGGCCCTGCGGCCCCGCTGTCTGAACGACAGCCCCCCAGCGGCGTCACTGCTCCTCGCCTAGGACTGTCTGAGCTTCCCACCGCGCTCAGCTCCCTGGCTGGGACCCGCGGGGCCTGCAGGGCGGGCCGGTCCGCCGCCCCTGGCCTTTCTCAGCCCCTGGATGCGCCCTGTGGTGGCTGGAGCACACGCTGTTTGTTCCTTCTGCACGTTTGGCAGCCCTGCCTGCCCTGCCCGTTCTGGGTCAACCCTGGCCCGGCTCAGGGGCCTCTGTCCCTTAATCCCCAGCCCCCAAGATCCTGATGTCTGAACTTGTGCTTTGAGGCCTCTGGTCCAGGAGGGCAGGGCCTGTCTCTCGCTCCCCGCCTCCCCATGCCAGCACGGAATCGGTGCTCAAAGAGTGTTTGCTGAAACGTGGCGAGGCCCCGCCCCTGCCCCGTGCAGCGTTCACAGCCTGGACCCCCATGGCTCCCCAAAGCCATGCCCCTCACTACACCTGCTGGCCTACACCCCGCCCCACTGGCTCCCGAACACCTCCCTCGTCGCCCTGGTTCTGGATCCAGGTCTGGGGGTCCCCAGGGCGAGGGATGGGCCCAGGGAGGCGGCCTTGGATGGGCAGGGGTCCTGAGTGCTCAGAACCACCCCTGGTGGGAAAGCTGGGGCCTGGGGGTGGGGATGGGGCTTCGTGGGAGGCAAGGGGTGGAACGGGCCCAGGGGAGGCCCGCTCGACTCGGAGCCCCCAGCCTGCCCCCAGCGCCTGGGCCATGGCCAGACGGCAGGCCTGGCGCTTCTCCCTGGCTGCTAGCTGAGGCTGGTGGGGCTCTGGGGCCGCCAAGGAGCGGGCAGTGGGGCAAGGACCGGGCAGTGGGGCAAGGACCTAGGAGGCAGGCAGGAGGAGTCCCGCTGGCTTGGAGACCGGAGCTCTGGGGCGGGTGCCTGCAGTCAGCAGGAAGGGGATTCCCCCGGGCCATTGGGCACCCCTTGGGGCTGGCCCCTCCTGTGGGGCGGGGCTGGGGTGAGAGCCTCCTAGGCCTGCGGCATCTCCTGTGCTTGGGTTGGTTGGCCGAAGGGACCTGGGGGAGGAGGAAGGGGACCCCCGTCCCAACAGCCCGATGGGTGAGGCTGGGGACACTCGGGTGGGGCGGCCCCTTCCAGCCTCCCAGGTCTTCAGTCCTCACGGCAGCCACACAAAAGGGAGGCATCGCCCACACTCGTACAGACCTAGAAATTGAGGCCCAGAGCCCACTTCGTGGTGTGTCTGTTCGCAGCCAGGACCCGGTGGAGCCGGGGTCTCTCCCTGAGTTTTTGGACTTCAAGGCCCACAAGGACCCCTTCACGCCCTCTGGCTGCCCCTTGGGGACCCCCAGAGGCATCTCGGGACCCAGGGCCCAGTGGGGAGAGCGACAGGGCCAGGCTCTGAGCGCTGAGGCCCCAGCACTGTCCCTGCCTCGCACGCCCACGTCTGCCGCACCCACTACTGTGGAGGAGACTGCCCGTCCCCTCTGATTCCCACGGGCTGGGCCAGGCTCTGAGGCCGCCGGCGGAGACCTGGGCCTCGGCAAGTGTGGGGCAGCCACAGAGCGAGGAGAAGCCTCCTGGGCCTGGCTTCGCCTCCCCTTCCCATTCAGCAGCGTCCCCGCGGCCAAGCCGCAGAGGCGAGAAGGCCTGGGAGGACTTCCCACGTGCAGGAGTCCTCTGAGGGTGTCTGGTCGACCCTGGTGCACGGCCTGCAGCCCCCCACTCACCGGCGCTGAGCAGGGCACCCCCGCAGGAGAGAAGCAGCAGCAGCTGGGGCCCGAGCATGGCGCGGAGAGGACAGCGGCCACCGCGGGGCACTGGGCAGGCTGCTGCACCTGTGCAGCCCGAGTGGCCTCCCCCCGACGCCTTATATAGGGGCCAGGGGCCCTGCCCCGCCCCGCCTGCTTGTGCCCCACGCTCCCGTCTGGTAATTGCCACGGCCAGCCAGTCCAGGGGTGGCCAAACAGGATCTGGGGCGCTGCTTTATCAGGACCCGGCCTTTGGAAAATTCTTCAGCGGGCAGCGGCCCCGTTGTCACTCACCTCCGAGCAGGGGGCCGGCACACACCCTCCGGGGCCCTGCACACATCTCCGGTGAAACCTTAATTGCCAGGGGTCTCCCTGGGGGTCGGTCCAGCGAGTCAGCGTGGGCGCCTGGGGACTGAGAGGGGGCTTGTCCAGGACGTGTGGGGGAGACGCCTGGGCACCCCCTCTAGGGTGCTACAGAGAGCTTCTGGGGGGCGCTCCATCCTCACCTGGACCCAGGACCCCTACAAGGTGCCCGCACACTGGGTCCCACCCCCACCCTGGGAGGAAAGACTGCCCAGTGGCAGGGACTCTCCAGAGGAGGGCAAGCCATTCCAGACTCTGCCCCTCGGGGTGGGGTCCCGGCTGGGGGGCGCTCATGCACGGGCCACTGGCCCTGGGGCTCAGATGGAGGCCTCCCTGGAGGCCTGAGGAGCTTGTGGGGCTGACACCACATCCCTGGGGTGCAGGGCCTTGGCTGGCCAGCTCGTTGCCGGAGACCCCCTTCTCAGCTGGCCGCCTGGGACTTTGGGTGGTGGGAGGGGCAGAGTGGTCCTGCTGGGCCCCGGGACCCCTAATTAACGGTTGTCTGAACCCACATGGCTCTGAGCTGCGTGCTTCAGGCGCAGCAGGAGTGAGGCAGCCTTGGCGGGGGCATCTCCTGTGCCAGCCTCAGGGTCCCCGGCCCGCTCAGGCAGAGAAGCAGGGGCTGTGCCCCCACCCCCCTGGGAGAAGGACAGAAGGACATGGCTCCTGGGGGAGGCACCCTGGGGAGCGGGAGGCCGGTGAGGCCAGTGGGCACTTGTCCACGGGCAGCTCACACGCCCGCAATGCGAGGGGTCAGGGCGAGGGTCAGGGTCAGGGTCAGGGTGAGGCGCGGGTCGGGGCACAGGTGTTTCGAATTTTCCACGGGACTGTCTCGCAGTCAGGGAGCAGGGTGGGTCCGACTTCTCCAGGGCATCCTGGCCCTGAGCAGGAGCCCAGGGGGCCTGGCACAGGGAGCTTCCGCCTTCTTGAGGCAGTTCTGCCCCACATGGACCTGGGCTCCTTCCACAGAGACTGTGTCTGGGGCCTCCCCATACCTCACAGACCACCCAGCTCTGCGGGCCCCCCCCTTCCCGGCTCAGAGATGCTGTGTGTTTACCTTAAATAAATTTTAGTTTTAATAGAAAGTTGTTTTAACAGGAAACCGCTCTCGGCGAGCTGCTGGCCTGCGGGTGCCTCAGCCCTGGGGGGCGGGCAGGCAGGTGGGATGTTCTGGGGACCCTGTTCTCTGTCATTTCTCCACGATGCTCTTGGCACCCCGTTCGGAGAACCCCAGGCCTAGGAATGCTCCCGGCCCAGGCAGGGCTGGGCAGAGGGGGTCCCAGGGAGGCCCCCCTGGGTGCCCCTACCCCGGACCCTCCCAGCCGGGGTCCCTGCAGGAAGGATGGTGCTGAAAGGGGCCTGTGGTCTGGGCATGAGTGGGCTCACGTGGCCGTCTGCCTGGGCGTTGCCGAGGTGCCTCCGTGGGGGCTCCCCCTGCCCTCGGGGAGCTCCCGCTCACAGCGGGACTTGTGCAGCTCCAGACGGAGGGCCAGGGAAGGCTGGTGGGTGGGGCCCTCAGCCCTGGCCAGGGCCCCGGGAGGGTGAGCACACTGTGGGGCTGCAGGGAGACGGCCCCTCGGGCCTTGGGACAAGCAGGGAGGCAGGCACTCCGACAGGCCACCCGGGCCGTCTCCCACCAGACACAGCCATCCCCAGGGCCTGGGTGCGGCCCACGGTGGGCAGTTCGAGGCTCCAGAATGGGCCGGGTGGGGCTGTCCCCCAGAGGTCCCCTGCCACGGGGCCCGGCTGTGGGATCAAGCCCCAAGCCTTTCTCTCTCACGGCCCCCGTTCCATCCCTCTGCCCCGACCCTTCCGGGTCCCCAGCTGCTTTAGCCCCTGCCGGCAGGCGCCCGACCGCAGGGCCTTGGCGTCGGCTGCCCTTGGTGTCCCGCACACGGCCCCCAGATGTCCCCTGGCTCCTCCCCTCCCCTCTGACAGCCTCCCCTGTCCCCTTCTCCAGACTGCGCCCTGCACGTTGGGTGCTGTGGTGTCTCCCAGCAGGTCCTCCCCCCATGGGCCCGTCCAACTGTTTTCCGTGTGTCCCAGCACCTGCAGGGGGCCCACGCCTCGGGACACATCAGGGGACAGGTGGGGCAGACCGTGGTCTCCGGACACTCCTGTGTCCTGGGTGGGGTGGGGCTTGTGGCAGGCAAGGGGCTCCCTCGTTGGGGCCCAGGCTCACCTCCCAGCAGCCTGAGGGTTGCAGGGGTGGCCCTGGCTGGTGTGGGATGTCACCGGATTGCAATCGGCCGCCCCCGGGGCTTGGATCAGAGGCCCGTGTATGTGTGCGTGTGACTTGGTTTGAGTTTCCTGGGAAAGTTGTGCCGTGCGGTCCAGGATCTGTCACCGCAGGCGGCCCAGGTCCTGAAATTAGCGGACAGCTCTGACCTTTCAGCATTGCCGGCGCCCGGGTCCTGTTCCCTCCCAGCAAGGCGGGGCTGAGGCCCCTTTTCCCTTTCTACACAGTGGTTTGGCGGGAAACCATAGAGCATGGCATTGTTGTCTGCTGACCTGGGGGTGCTGGAATGCGCTGAGCAAACGGTGGCAGGGAGATAAGCATGTGTGTGGCCGTTGTTCGCCATTGTCCCCTTGCAGGCTGGGCGACAGGAGCGGTCCCGCTGGCCGGCCTCAGGGAGCGGAACCCCGGACACACGGGTGATTGTCTGCCCTCGCTCCCTCCGCCTGTGTGGCCGGTGCCGTGAGGCAGGGAGCCCGAGGGGGCCTGAGCCCTGGCCGAAGCCTGCCCTGAGCCTACCCCCAGCCCCAGAGCCTAGTGTCCAGGAAGAGGGCCCTACACACCGCTTCCAGCTTCCTGCAGCCCCTTCCTCGAGACCCCCACCCTGGAGCCAGCTGGGAACGGCCACGTGAGGGCTGGGAGGGAGACCCAGGCTCTCCCCGCCACATCCCAGCCACCTTACCTGCAGCTCCCTGGCCTCCTGTCCACTCCTTGGCCAACTCCTGCTTCTCGCTGGCCCTTCTAGACCCCCATCCTGAGCTGCTGGGATCAACGCTGCCGGGCAGAAGTGAAGCCACTGAGCCAGGGACACAGGCGAGGGGCCTGGGCAGCCAGGGAGGGTGCTGCGAGGGGCTGGGGCGGGCCGTTCCTCTGGGGGCCCAGGGCTTCCCTGCCAGCCCCAGCGCCTACCCCTGGGCCCCAGCTCTCCCCCAAAATTCCTGGGCCTGCATTTGGGGTGTGTGCGGCCCCCCACCCCTGCAGGGCAGCCCCAGTGTTGACTGCTGCCCACAGCCCCATCGTGTAGCTGTCAGGTGGACAGAACTTCATGGCTGTGGCTGCAGGAGGGGGCTGGGGCATAGGACTGGACCCGGGACAGGTTAGGGGGTCCGGGGCGGGGGAGTCACTGCCACAGGCTTGGTGGAACCGTGCTCATGGACAGGCTCAGCTCCACCCCTCTCCTGGCCAGGGCCTCTGGTCCTTTGTGTATATTTTAGGTGCCTGGCCCTGTGCTGGGGCCTGATGGGGGGACAGCAAGGGGGCTGAGGGGCAGGTTGAGCCGCGGTGGGCTGGGAAAGCAGGCCTGGGGCTGGATGCCCACCTGCTGCCCAGGCAGCTCCGGCGGGACGGGGGCCTGGCCACCTGCTCCTCGCACCAGGGGGGAGCGTAGCTGGGGTCGGGGAGACGTGCTCCCAGGAGGCAGTGCTCGGCCCAGCTCTTTGGGCAGCACCTGGGGTGCCCCCTGGCCCCGGTGCTCTGAACGATCCTCCCCCCACCCTGAGTCTGGGCACCTCTGACCCCACGGTGGTGGAGGGGCCCCTCCTGACCAGCACCCACTCCCACTCCCACCCCACTTGGGACCTGGGGCTGCCCCTCAGGGGCTCCGAGTCACGTTTCTCCGGGGCCTGGCTTTCCCCCCCACCCCCGCGCCAGCCTCCAGCCCTGAGCTGAGGGTCCCGAAGTCTCCACCTCCAAAGGCGCTGGAGGTGACTCTGATGTCTTCAGCTTCTGGCCAGAGCCCTGCGCCCCCTCTGCCCCTCAGCTGCGGGCCGGCTCAGCGCGCGCCCCCGGCCCCCCGCCCGGTGCTGTGCTGAGCTGAGTGCCAGCGGATGCCGGGTGGAAAGCAAACAGATAAGGCTGGTCAGGAGCAGCGGGCCGGGAGCCTCACCCCGGGCCAGGGGTTATCGGGCTGCTTGTGGCTCCAGGTGCGGACGTGGCGGGTACTGTTTGCTCTCCGCTGGTGGCCGTGAGGGGCTGCCGGCCGCCGTGGGTGTGACCCGGGAGCTGGTGGCCAGGTGGTGCTGCCGGTTGGTGCACACGATCTGTCCCTCCGTTGGGGGGCGGGAGGGCGGCAGGGAGCACATGGGGGGTGTTCTCAGCAGGGTGTCCAGGTCAGGCTGCCGAGCAGAGCCCCGGACCGGGTGGCTCGCCCACACACACTTCTTCTCGCAGCCCTTGGACACTGAGGTCCGAGGTCAGGGTCCCCCCGGGGCCGGGCTTTGGTGAGGGCTCCTCCTGGGCCTGGTGGGAAGAGGGGGGAGGGCATTGATGCCATCATGGGGCCCCACGTTCACGGCCCGATTCCATCACCCTGGGGTCAACGTATGAATTTTGGGGAAACACAAACACGCAGCCCCAAACAGGTGGTACCAGGTTGTGGGGGGCCGTCAGGTTGGAGGGCCCTGAGCAGCCCGGGAAGGCTTCCTGGAGGAGGTGGACTA